ATAAATGTAAAAAAGAACTAAAATTTTGAAAAAAAAACAATATTTTTTACTTTCTGCTGCACAAATATCCAGTTAAAAAAAATTCTTCAAGAATTTTGGCCAAAATATGTTCTGCTACACTGAAGAACAAGACGACCAGGGACGGAAACTTGGGCACTGCCCGAGGGCCAGAGGTCAGTAGGGGGCCCCATGAGAAGCCCCTGGTACATTTTTCATAGGCTTTTTTGAGTTTGGGCAAGGACACAGGGGCCCCATGATCCCCTATTGCCCAGGGGCCCCATGAGTTGTCAGTCCGTCCCTGAAGAAGCTACCATTACGTACTAATATGACTTTAAAAGGTACCACACCAAATTATATATATAAATATTCATGTTTATTGTACAAAAACTTTAAAAGATATTAAAAACAAGACATTCCAACAGCGTAAGTGTCAAAAAGAGCTGAAGTTGGTATAATTAGCAATTTACAAATAAACATAACCCCAGATGGTCCCTCTTCAGGAAGAGCTAATACAAGGTTCGAAGAATTACAAACAAAATACAAAATCAACATCATCTCAGCACATCCAAGAACAGGTAAATATGATCCCTTAGTTATACATATAACAAACTTATAAAAATAGTAATATTGCTTGTCATGAATGCACAAATGCAAACAGTCTGGGCCAAAAGAGCAGAACTGCAACCACTGCGTGGTGAAGAGATCAGTCCCACCTTATAGGATGTATAAATTTGGAAGGAGGTGGATGAAATATACCCTTTAAAAGAAAAGAATATACAGCCGTGCTCAAAAGTTTGCATTCCCTGGCAGAAACCATGACATTTTGGCATTTATATTGAAAATATGACTGATCGTGCCAAAAAACTGTCTTTTATTTAAGGAATCATATGGAATGGGATCATATGAAGCCATTTATTATAACATAGTTGTTTGGCTCCTTTTTAAATCATAATGATAACAGGTATCACCCAAATGGCCCTGATCAAAAGTTTAGATACCCTGGAATATTTGGCCTTGGTACAGAAACACACGGTGACACACACAGGTTAAAATGGCAAGTAAAGGTTAATTTCCCACATCTGTGGCTTTTTAAATTACAATTAGTATCTTTGTATAAATAGTCAATTCGATTATAGCTGCACTGAGCAGGATAGATACTTAGCAATGGGGAGCAGAAAAGAACTGTCAAAAAACTTGCGTAGCAAGGTAATGGAACTTTATAAAGATGGAAAGGGATATAAAAAGATATCCAAAGCCCTGAATATGCCAGTCAGTACTGTTAAATCACTTATTAAGAAGTTGAAAATGCAGGTATCTCCTGATACCAAGCCAAGGTCAGGTAGACCAAGAAAAATTGCAGCCACAACTGCCAGAAGAATTGTTCGGAATTCAAAGAAAAACCCACAGGTAACCTTGGGAGAAATACAGGCTGCTATGGTAAAGGACAGCATGTTTTTTTCAAAGAGCTTGTTACGATGGTACTTGATCAAAAATTAGCTGCATGGTCGAGTTGCCAAAAAGAAGCCTTTACCGTGCCAATGCCACAAATAAGCCCAGTTACAATATGCCTGACAACACCTTGGCAGGCCTCACCAGGATTTTGTATCATTGATGCAGTAAAGGCTTCTTTTTGGCAACTCAACCAGGCAGCTAATTTTTTTTTCAAGTATCTTAATATTGTGCTCCTTGAAACAACCACACTGTCTTTTTCCAGAGCAGCCTGTATTTCTCTTAAGGTTACCTATGGGTTTTTCTTTGCATCCCAAACAATTCTTCTGGCACTTGTGGCTGCAATCTTTCTTGGTCACTGTGGCTTAAGAAGGTGAGCTTTCTTTATTATTTATTTTTTATTTACTTTTTTTTTTTAATTCTTTCCTGACGCCATTCTCACCAAGAGGTGGTGGTAGAGGGACACTGGGCACAGGTTTTCACAGGTTATCAGAATATAGAGGAAATCATTACTTGAGCCTAACTGGCTTGTGTTCAGCAGCTTACCACAAAGGTGGTGACCTCTCAGGAGAGGACGTTCAACCAAATAGAGAAATCCAAGGGGTCTGCATATAAACCGTGGAATACACATCCACACAATCAGAAAGAAAATTTTTGTACTTCCTTCATTATGCTTGTGCCTATATTGTCAGCACTAACTAGTGGCCACAACATGTTTCTGTTTCCTGGATGAGGTATTTCCAAAAAAAAAAAAATAATTTTGGCCACTAGTTGGCGCTGCCGATATAGGAACTACACACACTAGAGAAAATACGGCAATTTTCTTCAGGATCCTGAAGAAGCCACGTGATCGTGGCGCAACGCGTCGACGTATTTCCGGTCATAGGGGTGACGTACTTCCGGTTCCGGGTTCGGACGCCATCTTGGTACACCTGAGTATACCCATAGCACATGGGAAATTGCTTCTCTCTGTTGGAAGACATGTGAGTGCGGTTTTGTCATTTTAACCTTGAGTGCATTAAAATAGTGTTGCACTATGGAGGTCTGTTCTTCTCTTGCATATGCGCCCTGTTTTGAGCCCGTATTGTGAGGGAAGGTATGTGAGAGGAACCCATTGCTTGGAGGAGGATCTTGATTTAAGTCGGTGGAGGCAGTGGAGTATCAATATCCTGGCAGATATATATTATATATATAAAGCCTTGTGACCCGCAAGGGTCGAATGTTGAAGGTGAGGGGGCACTTTGGCTATTTATGAGGGGAGTCACTTCAAGAGTCACGAAGAGCACAATTGCAGCATGGATTGAAATCATTACCACAGTGTATTGAACACTTTTATTATTTTTACACAGTGTGGCATCACTAATAATTTTGAATTTCGATCTTGCATTATATTTTGTATAATACTTATCACTTTACACAGTTTAAGTGTCATTCTGTTGAATATCACTATTGACCACTAGGGGGTGTATAATTTATGTGGGGGATTTTGCACTAGATTTTTTGTAGATTGATTATTTTAATTTTGAAGGATATAAGTTGAGCGCTTCATCATTTATATTATTTGTTTGCACATATCTGGAGGTATAAAGAATAGGTGATAGCAGCTTACTTTTGATCACTAGGTTCTGTGGAGCGCAGGGGGATTTTTTGTATATTTAACCCCACTTACTAGGTGTGGGCCCTATATAGTGAAGACCAGGGATTTGCTCCTATATGGTGCATGACTAGGGAATTGTCCCTATATGGTGAAGACCAAGGATTTTCCCCTATATGGTGCATGACTAAGGAATTGTCCCTATATGGTGAAAGACCAGGGATTTGCCCCTATATGGTGCATGACTAGGGATTTGTCCCTATATGGTGAAGACCAGGGATTTGCCCCTATATGGAGCATGACTAGGGAATTGTCCCTATATGGTGAAGACCAGGGATTTGCCCCTATATGGTGCATGACTAGGGAATTGTCCCTATATGGTGAAGACCAGGGATTTTCCCCTATATGGTGCATGACTAAGGAATTGTCCCTATATGGTGAAGACCAGGGATTTGCCCCTATATGGTGCATGACTAAGGAATTGTCCCTATATGGTGAAGACCAAGGAAGTGCCCCTATATGGTGGAGGACAAGGGTATTGCACTTATATGGTGGAGGAGAAGGGAATTACACCTATGTGGTGGAGCATAGTTCCCAACTGTCCCTGATTTCGAGGGACTGTCCTTCATTTGGAATAAAGTCCCTCTGTCCCTCCTTCCTCTTTTTATTTGTCCCTCATTTTGGTCTGAGCTATATAGATGTATATAAAATGCACTATTTATCTATCGGAAAGTGTTTTAAAATTCTAAACTTTTCATACAATCTTTAAATGGCTGCGTTTGTAAATTTCAAAAGCCAATATAAAGGAATAGTAGTGGTAAAAAAGAGCAATTGTGGGTTTAACCAATCATTTTTTTGTATAATTACTCTTTAATGTGTTACTAAACCTACAACAGTAAAATCAGTCTGTATATGCAAGTTTGTTATACTCACTGTGGAACCCTAATGGGTTAATCCTCTGCATTGTGTAAAAAGGCAGTTTGTTCCTGATTGCTCTGTTCCTCCCCTTGTTTAAGTGACCACCTATTATATTCTGATAAGACAGACTGAATGGTAGGCATTTTGCACATGCTCAGTTTGATGTGAATTGCTAGAGAGGTTTTTTTTTTTTCTTGGGAGAGTGGATATGATCAGCACATGGTCAATCAGCACTGGTCAGACAGAGGTCAGGAGTTTTGCATCCTCCTAGAGCTGCAACCAGTGCTCTGCTGGACACTGATAGAAGTCACAGGACTGCTGATGATGATGAGAAAAGGTATTTAGCAGTTTATATTTACTAAAATAATTGCATGTTCTGTGTACTATGGAAGACCACATATAGTGAATCCAGGGTCCTGGGTTTAGTAACACTTTAAGGGGGGGGGGGGGGGGGGGGGGGCAAGGGGTATGTCCTACGCTTACATACTTTCACTAATAGGTGTCCCTTGTTTCCATCTCAGAAAGTTGGGAGATATGGGAGGAGGACAAGGGAATTGCTGCTATATGGTGGAGGACCAGGGAAGTTCCCTTTTATGTTGGAGGACCAGGGAATTGTCTCTATATGGTGGAAGACCAGGGAATTGCATCTTTATGGTGGAAGAGCAGGCAGGTTGCCATTTTTGTCCCTCTTTAATCCGGCCCAGGTCATTGTACAGCTCAGAATCATGTGAGAAGAAGCAGGAGGCTTGCTCATGGTCACCCTTGAGAGCTGCATGTGAAATAAACTGCCTTAGACTCCGAATAAGTAGCACAAAAACATAAGGGAGATTTAGAGCCATGGCCAGTAGTGCAGGCCCAAAAGCAGCAGTGGCAGTGCAGACAGTTCTTATTTCACAAACTAATATATGAGGACAACAATTGCTTAGTTGCAATTCTCCCCATATGCTAATGGTTTTATTACCATGCTTTTGTGTATTACACAGTTATGTACCGATACTTTATGTGTAATTGCCCTGTCTGTGCTGTGTTCTCTCCCCAGTAAAGTACATGAAGGAGATATCCCCCTTTTTCAAAGGCCCCATCCCCGGTGGCCCAGGGAGCTGGGATAATATACCACCTGTTCCCCCACAGAAGAGGGGCTCCCCTGCTCTGCCCCCCCGGGATATAAAGGATGGAAAGAGTATTCCACTAAAGATGTGTTTTGTGTCCCGCACCTTCTTGCCTGCTGACCCAGAGCCCAGGTAAGGGGTAGAGATGCCCCATATAAGTATGCAAAGTAACATGCTAATACCAAAAGCATTTCTAACAGCAAAGCTGAAGTTTTAGCTGCTTATATTTTGCCTTCCCTGGTTCCTCATTCCCCCCTCCTCAACATGCTAATGACTTAAAAAAAAATGTTTGTTTTCATTACATACCTTATTTTAGACCCAGTTTTGTCACCACTGGTTCTCTTGAAAGTAAGGAGTGAAGAGCCGGCAACTCGTCCTTCTGGAGAATTCCTTTATTACATCGAGTAGAGTGTACAGGTAAAATGGGCTTATGCGTTTTGGCACTAGGCCTTAATCATAGCCATCATGGGAGTTGTTGACTCTTCACTCCCTACTTTCAAGTTGCTTCAGTGTTGGGAAGACACTTTGAGCAGTCCACCTCCATGGAGAATCCATCTGGGCGTAGTATCTTTCTCCATGGCACCATGGATCTCTGTGCTTGTAAATGCAATGCAGTCAAGTCATAGCTGGTGGGAGGGGCTATGGTGGGGTCCCATTCACCTGGTTTTATGGTGGGGTCCCATCCACTGGGTTGGAAGTGGGGTCCTATTCAGCTGGGTCTATGGTGGGGTCAAACTTGAAGTTGTTTCATTACTCATACAAGCAGTTTCCTCAGTTTTGAACTTTAAACTCAGAAAGACACTTGGGTGAGCAGTGAAATGTCTTTAACATTACAGTTGAGTGTGACCCCGCCATAGACGTAGTTGAGTTTGACCCAACATAGATTGTAAGCTCTAATGAGCAGGACCCTCTGATTCCTTTTGTACCAAATTGTAGTGTAACTGTAATGTCTGCCTTCATTTTGTAAAATGCTGCGCAAACTGTTGGTGCTATATAAATCCTGTATAATAATAATAACAACATAGACCCAGTTGAATACGATCCCCCCTATAGATCCAGCTGAATGTAATGCCACCATAGACCCAGCTGCATGTGATCCCACCATAGACTCAGTTTAATATGACCCCACCATAGACCCAGCTGAATGTGGTCCCATCATAGACTTAGTTGAATATGACCCTACCTTAGACCCAGCTGAATGTGGTCCCACCATAGACTTAGATGAATATGACCCTACCATAGACCCATTTAAATGTGAACCCCACCATAGATCCCTTTGAATGTGACCCCATCACATCCTAGTTGAACATGACTAACTACTACTAGGTATACCGGGACCTGGTTAAATGAGAACCTTCACAGACAGACATTAGTGTTCACAACACATGCAGGCGGGATGCAATAGAAATATTTGGAGGCCACGAGCCAAGATGAAAATCTTTTGATACTGAACAAAATACAATATTGTGTATCCGTCTTTTCCATGATAAGCTCAGAGTGAAAAAATAATAGTTCACATTACATACATGCCACTGGCTCAAATAAGTTAAGACAGTCCATGGTTCCATCATTGAGTTGACTTCTTCAGCAAGCAGATGTGGTCAGTTATGTACCTCAGTGGCTAAGACAAGGAGTGGTGCTAAAATTGTCCCAAGAATTCTTGAGATGTAGCAGGTTTGACATTTTTTCTGTTCTTTTCCTGTAGATATCTCGAGATTTGTTCTGCAGATGGTAGAGATGTTCTTTTCCTTCGAGCAAAGGATGCAGGGACAGCCCAGTCATGGTTCAGTGCCATTCACAGTAATGTCAGCGCTCTAATACCAAGAATCCGTGAGGAGATTAAACAGATCCTGGGCAAGGAGGTCAAACACATGGGCTGGCTGACTGAACAGGTATGAAATGTCCTCCAGAAAGGAGGACTGTATGTGTATGACATTATGGCAGCTCCTACAGCCTCACAAAGGCATCACACGACTTTCTTGAAGCAATTAAAGTAAATCTAAACCCAATCACTAAATTTCATGTAAGCATTAACGTACCAAAGCCCAACTCCAAGCTCTGTGCTACCTCCCCACTCATACTCCCCAACTGGTTGTAATTTAGGTTTTTTCTGTTTTGGTACTTACCTTTTATGAAGTCTTTAGGCCTGTCTTCTCTCAGATGGCCAGTTCTCGCTGATGCAGAGAATGGCACTAGTACTAATAACGTGAATAGAGGGTGCCATTTGACACCTCATCAGAGGCCATGATTCCCTGCACTCACAGTATGTACTCAGTCTTCCATATTGAGTGATGCTAGGTACTATTCAACCTGGAAGACTGAGGACATCATGTGTGGAAGGAGAAGTATTGTAGGGAACAGTTCTGGATTGAAGGTGAGCATTGCAGTCTGAGTTATTTTGGCATTAAGTAATGCAAAAGGTATTTCTACCCTGTCACATTAACGCTTGATTGAGACAAAGAAGGGGCTGTCACAACACACATTGAACAGGCATGGTCTCACATTGCCACTATCAAGACACTGGTTCAGAACAACTGTCAGGAATCAACAGCAGAGAAGACCAAATCTTTGTGGCTACACCTAGGAAACTGAGACCAGAGTGTATATGTTTCAAGTGAGATTTACAATGAAACAAAAGCCTTCCAAACCAGCACACAAACGTGAAAATATAAGTGGACCACAAAAACCTAGTGACAGAATCCATAACTAATAACTAAAAACAAAACAGAAGCCTAGCTAACAACTTACTATATACAATATATACAAAAATGGGGAACATGGATATACAGGGCAAACTAAAGATGCAGGAAAAAGATCGGAAGGCGAACCAGGACTAGGATCAGATAGGGGAGCAGGAAAGAGGCACCAGGGCAGGAGCAAGATCAAGATCTATGGCAAAGAGGATCTGGCAGCAGCAAAACACTGGAGCAAGGGGGACTAATAGAGGTGGACTTAAATACCCTCCCAGCAGCCAGCATCAGGTGGAAACTAATTTAATGGGATCTGCTAGCTGCTGGGAGACACCCGCTGGTGGACACTGGAATTACAACCCTCTGCCCATTAAACAACAGTGCCACCAGCAGGTGATCCTGGTCCAAACAACGATACTGGAGCAAGTGCATGTAGTCAGAAAGTGGCTGAAAGAGGCTGGAAAAGATCACAGCATTAAGACGTAATAAAATACAAAATAAATTGAAAAAAAGAATTTGCTGTTTGTTCATGATAAACAGTGCTTTAGTAAACTAAATGTCATCTGCATAGGGTTTAAATCTGCTTTAAAGCACCCTCCAGCTGTGGCCTAAGGTTGCTGAATACAGATCGAAATGGGAATGCTGCCTGCAACTTTACGCAAGGTTTTATTTATTTAATAAAACATTCAAAAGAGAAATATAAGGACCACCTTTGCATATGTCCTTCTGAAATTACTGGTTGCTTTGCTGTTTTGCTGACTGCCTTTAATACTTTCTAAGTCACTGGCCCTACACAAGTATGGAGATCAGCAGAGTAAAATCAAACATCCTTTTTCTGCATGCTTGTTGTGGATCAGTGACTCCAAGAATTAAAGGTAGAGAGTATATATGACAGCCAAGGAACTAGCAAATGCAGAATGAGAACTCATCCACATCTCTATTAGGAAAGTTTTCTTTAAATCTCTTTGACCTCTCAGCAAAAGTAAATTATTTCAACTGAGAATGTAAAAAAACCTATGATTTATAGTTTTCTTTTAGGTTCTCTATAAATTAGTCCCTGCACCAGAAATGTATAGGACATCGTAATATCTGAGTCCAACAGAACATTTATTCCTAACACGAAGAAGTCAACCCATTTCAGGGGCTGTACACCATCCACTTTATCGGGCCAAAAATGTGTTGTGAAAGATTAAAAAAAATGTAAATCTAATAACCACTTGACCTCCAGAAGGTTTTACCCCCTTCATGAACAGGCCTTTTTTTTCCTACATTTACAAGAAAAAGTATGTGAACCCCTTGGGATTACGTGGAGTTTTGCATGAATTGGGCATAAAATGTGCTCTGACGTCATCTAAGTCACAACAATAGAAGAACACAGTCTGCTGAACATAATACTACACAAACATTAGATGTTTGCCATGGTTTAATTGCACATAACATGTAAACATTCACAGTGCAGGGAGGAAAAAGTATGTGAGTCCCTAGCTTAATGACTTCTCCCAGAGCTAATTGGAGCCAGGAGTGAGCCAACCTTGACTCCAATCAGTGTGATGATATTGGATGTGTTGCTGACAGCTGTCCTGCCCTTAAAAAACACACACCTGTTTTGGGTTTACTGGTTTCAAGAAGCACTGTCTGATGTGAACCATGCCTCGCAGAAAAGAGCTCTCAGAAGACCTACGATCAAGAATTGTTGACTTGCATGAAGCTGGAAAGGGTTACAAAAGTATCTCCAAAAGCCTTGATGTTCATGTGTCCACGATAAGACAGACTGTCTACAAATAGAGAAAGTTTAGCACTGTTGCTACTCTCCCTAGGCGTGGTCGTCCTGCAAAAATGACTGCAAGAGCACAGCGCAGAATGCTGCATGAGGAAAAGAAGAATCCCAGAGTGTCAGCTAAAGACCTACAGAAATCTCTGGCACATGCTAACATTTTTGTTGACACATTTACAATAAGGAAAACATTAAACAAGAATGGAGTACATGGGAGGACACCACGGAGGAAGCCATTGCTGTCCAAAAAGAATATTGCAGCACATTTGAAGTTTGCAAAAGAGCAGCACTGGATGTTCCACAGCACTACTGGCAAAATATACTGTGGACAGATGAAACCAAGATTGAGTTGTTTGGGAAGATCACACAACACTATGTGTGGAGAAAAAAAGGCACAGCACACCAACATCAAAACCTCATCCCCACTGTAAAACATGGCGGAGGGAGCATCATGGTGTGGGGCTGCTTTGGCTGCCTCAGGGCCTGGACAGATTGTTGTCATTGATGGGAAAATGAATTCCAGAGTTTATCAAGACATTTTGCAGGAAAACGTACGACCATCTGTTCGCCAACTGAAGCTCCGCAGAGGATGGATGAGGCAACAGGACAATGATACAAGTAATTCAACAAAACAATGGCTGCAACAGCACAGAATACGCCTTCTGGAGTGGCCCAGTCAGAGTCCTGACCTCAACCCGATTGATGGGGAGAGCTACAAGGTTCAGGTCTGGCTACTGACCCAACAATACAACAAACAAGAGATCCCTGTGCTCAAATCGCAACAGCTAGTGCATGCATTTATCCATCAGGTGCTAAAGGGGTGTGTAACCACATATTAACACTAGAAATTCTGAAGGACCCTCTGCACTCTGGTATATACCCTTTCTTGTTTGTCATGCAATGCTGTACCCAACTCAAATTTCTATTTCTATTTTTTTCACACAAATAGAACTTTCTTTTGATGGTATTTGATCACCACAGTTTTTTTTATATTGTACAATATGAATGAAACAAGAACTAAAATTTAGAAAAAACTGTATTTTTTTACTTTATGCAATTAAACATCTCCAATAATAAAAATCAAACTTCTTCATAAATTTTGACCAAAATGTACTCTGCTACAAAAATCCAAATAAGTGTATATTGATTGGTTTGCATGAAAGTTATAGCGTCTACGAACTATGGTATATATATTGGAATTTTAATGTTTTTTACATTTTTGTACTACTAATGGTGGTGATCAGTGATAGTGCATCGGGCAATCTGACACTTACTGACACTGAGGGGATCTGACTAACGGCCACTGACATCACCAGTGACATTAATACAGCGATCAATGCTAATACTATACATTGTACTAATGACACTGGCTGGTAAGGAGTTACCATCTAGGGCAATCAAGGGGTTAAATGTGTGCCTAACAATGTGTAATGTGTGTATTATGTGTTGATTTTACTAAGACATCTCTTTGTTTCTCGCCCCGGAAGGGATGAGAAACAGAGAGATCATTTCCTCTGTACAGAGCTCTGTGTTGATTGTCAACACAGAGTTCTGGACTGTGATCGGGCACAGACGATCAGCAGGTCCCAGCCATGAATCATTAGCCGGGACCTGCTGACAGACTCATGCTGTGTACAATTACAGCAGGAGTCAGTGTGTGTGTGTGTGTGTGGGGGGGGGGGGGGGGGGGGGGGGGGGGCGGGGGGGGTGGCACACATGCATGCACCCTAAACAAGAAAGGTAGCAGCAACGTCGCTTTGCCTGCACGAGCCACACGTCCGCAGTACATTGCGGACGGACGGTCTGGAAATGGGTAAATAAATGTTACAAAATAATGGCATAGTCTATATTAATAAATACTGTATCTTTTATACTATAATTTTGAAATAACTACAGATTTGCTAAAATAAGATAAAAGTTAATGATTTTCGAACAATAGAAGCCATACCTATAATAATTGTAAGATTGTGATATAAACAATATCAAGTGAAGGTAAATCTCACAGAGGGACACGGATGGCAAAAAAAATTTGACAGGTTTCATCCATTTCCTACTTCTTTCCTTAAAGTGTTACTAAACCCAGGACCCTGCATTCACTATATCTGGTCTCCCTCAGTACACAAAACATGGAAATGCAATTATTGTAGTAAATATAAACTGCTAAATACCTTTTCTCATCAGCAGTATATAGCAGCCTTGTGACTTCTATCAGTGTTCAGCAGAGCACTGGTTAAAGCTTGTTGGAGGAGTTTTCTTTTTGCTCTAGGAGGATGCAAAATCCTAACCTCTTTCTGGGCAGTGCTGATTGGCCCTGTGCCCCCATGCTTCCAGGAAAAAAAAAATCCTCTCTAGCAATACACACTAAACTGAGCATATGCAGAAGGCCCACGGGTACAGTCTGTCTTATCAGGAGATAAGACTTGGACATTTGAACAAGAGGAGGGGCAGAGAAGACAGGATCAAACGTCCTTTTTACACACTGCAGAGGATTAACCCCTTAGATTCCATAGTGAGTATAAGTCCTTTTGACGGGAGTGACTTTGGGTGGGGGGCCCATGGAACACATCTCACGTTGGAGGGGTGGGGGAGACCCGGTCTCAGCTCCCCATATCCCTCCTATGTGTAAGTCACCCTGTGCCTGTTAGGGGTACAGGGTGGAATGTCCTGATATTGTGTAGACATGTATAGATGGGGTGTGGGGGTTGTTCATTGTCTACTGCCATGTGGTGCATCCCATTGTTCTATTGTGTGTCTTGCTTGGGAGCAAACTATTATGGGATGTATTTGTTTGTGTATTGGCTTGGTGGGGGGTGTCTGCTGATGTGTCTTTGGTTGCTAGATTTGGTTTGCCCTGCCTTGTGTCCATATGCAGGGAGGGAGGTTGTACACTTGAGTGTTTATATCTTGTGTCTGTGTTAAAATAAAGCAGTCTATTTCCTGGTTTAATACAAGACTGGTCTTCGTCTAATCTTGTATGGCCAGCGGTGGGGTCCGTGGATGGTATTCGGACAGGGAAGCGGGAGTCTAACGGAAATACCCTAGTGCAGTCGGGGTCCGGTTCCGTTACATTCGCTGAGACAGGGGTCTCCCCACCCCTCCAACATGAGCTGTGTTCCATGGGCCCCCCACCCAAAGTCAGTCCTGTCACAGTCCTTATGCACACTTGACGTTTTTACAGCGGCTGTTTTTGGCTTTTGACATTTTTTTGTACAGCCAGTAAACCCCCCGGCATGTTATCCTGTGTGTCCATGCACACATAGACTGTAATCAACGTTTTTTTGGCAGGGAGGTTTTTTGGCTGGAAACAAACCCAGGACTAGTAGGTTTCTAGAGGATTTTTTAGCTGTAAAAACACTCTAATGCTGAAAAATGCAGCAAAACGCAGCAAACTGGTGTTTTTGGATGTTTTTTTTACTAAAAAAAAGATATAACATGCTAAAAACCGCAAACATGGAAAAACACGGAAAAAGGCTGATAAACCCGGCAAAACTCCGCTAAACGCTAATGCAAAAATGCAAAAAAATGCTGAAAAACTAATTTTTTTTAACGTGACTTTACACAGCTAATGTTACCAGCGTTCTCAAAACACCCCGTGTGCATGGAGCCTAACAAGCATGCTTTACTGCATATACTGACTGATTTTACTGTTGTTGGTTTAGTAACACTTTAATCTTAAAAAAAAAAAGTAACAAGTGCTTTGTTCTATGTCTTCGGCTAATAATCAATGTTGATCACATTGTTTCTCCTTTTACTGGTTTTTAGCTGGCGCCAGAGGGAAAGCGGAACCTCATGGCCATTCTTACAGAAAAAGATTTCCTATTGTACAACAGCCTCCCGCACACCAGAGAGGGGTTCAGTAAACCGGCCATCTGCCACCCGCTCATTGCCACCAGGTAAGGGGTGAGCTGTGGGATGCTAAATATATCTGAATTGTACTGGTGAGTAAAGAGGACCTGTCATGACTGCATACTGGAGAAGGCTGATACTGAATATTACTTAGTAGGAAGTAAGAAGTAGTAAGAAGAGTGAATCCTGTTGTGCCAATGAACTTGTAAAACTGCCTCTTCAGGTTCATTTTAGGGTGGGCAGGGTATAGTGGACATACTTTTCATTTGATTTCCTACCACCCCATTCCCCTGCACAGGATTGCTGTAGTGGACCAGAGCCTACACAAAGCTAAGGACACCCCCCGCGGAACAGTGCTCATGCCATGTGGAAGAAAAATATATTTTAAAAACATTCCTCCCAAATATATTGACATATATTTGAAATACTACAATTTTGGCCATATTCCCCGCTTCAGTTTATCCTGAACTCAGAGGCCAGACTCATCCACCTTACCAACCACTCCGCTTCTGCCACCCCCCTCTGTCATTCCCTCCATTGGCTTCCGATTGCCCAATGCATTAAATTCAAACTACTAACATTGATATACAAAGCCATTCATAACACTGCCCCAAACTACCTCACCGACCTGACACCCAAATACCACCCAACCCGTACTCTTCGCTCCTCACAAGACCTCCTACTTTCTAGCTCCCTGGTCTCCTCCTCCCATGCTCGACTGCAGAACTTCTCCAGGACTTCCCCCATCCTCTGGAACTCACTACCCCATCCATCAGACTGTCACCTACCCTCCTCACCTTTAGGCGCACCCTGAAAACCCATCTGTTCAGGGAAGCCTACCCCACTCTCTCACCTAACAGCTGATCTCCTCCACTCCTCCCACCACTCCATCCCCCACAGCCACTTCCTCCTGTATCACTATCCCCTCCCTCCTAGATTGTAAGCTCGAAAGAGCAGGGACCTCTAACCCCTCGTGTATTGTTTTGTTACTGTATTGTCTCATGTACTGTCCCCCACTATAATGTACAGCGCTGAGCAAACCTTTTGGCGCTATATAAATACTGTATAATAATAATAATAATATTCAATTTATTTTCAAATATATATATTTACTTATTTCAGGTACTTATGTAACGCTGTCAATTTACACAGTGCTTTACATACAGGTGAAACTCAAAAAATTAGAATATCGTGCAAAAGTTAATTTATTTCACTGCAGCAACTTAAAAGGTGAAACTAATATATGAGATAGACTCATTACATGCAAAGCAAGATAGTTCAAGCCGTGATTTGTCATCATTGTGATGATTATGGCTTACAGCTCATGAAAACCCCAAATCCACAATCTCAGAAAATGAGAATATTACATGCAATCAATAAAACAAGGATTGTACATAGAACAATATCGGACCTCTGAAAAGTAGAAGCATGCATATGTACTCAGTACTTGGTTTGGGCCCCTTTTGCAGCAATTACTGCCTCAATGCGGCGTGGCATGGAAGCTATCTTCCCAGAAAAGTAATAAAGGGAAATCCCCAATAGGGACACTAGTTCTGGTGACCTGGGGGTTCCCAAGGAATTCCCTTAATTTGCATGGATTTCCTGTTTGGTCTATGAGACAGGAAGTGAAGGGAAATCTCCCCATAGGGACACAGATGATAAAAAATAAACTGACAGGGGTTGTGAAACCCCCCTCCTTACTCCATTCTAAATGAAAAAAAAAGTTTTGTCTAGAGTTCTACTTTAAGAATTCCCATTAACCTAACATACCTGTAAGTGTTTTTTTTCTTCTTACCTTCCTAGTTGTTTTTTTTTTAAGCAGGCCTTTGGGCAGACTGAAAGGTATCCTGAACAATTTCAGAGTGATAGTGAAGTGACAAAGTGGGGACAAGCTGGGATTCCTCTCATTAACATCTGATGCAGAACCTAAACCGTTTTTCCCAGCCCTGGCATCCCCTTAACAGGGTCTAGTCCAGGGGTAGGCAACCTGCGACTCTCTAGCTGTCGTGGAACTACATTTCCCATGAGGCAATGCAAAGATTACAAAACTGACAGTTACAGCTATGACTTGCAGAGGCATGATGGAACTTGTAGTCCTGCGGCTCTCAGGTTGCCTACCCCTAGTCTAGTCAATCACATGTCTGCTGTACTTGGCTATCAAAGTGGTCATGTTATCCAAACCGATCTCAACAGTTCTCAATCACTGGTAGAGACTGAAAACTGTCTGACAGCTCGACCACTGTGGGAGGCAAGAGGTTAACGTGGTTAAAAAGTCAAAATGTTTTTTATGCTAAAGTGTTACTAAACCCACAACAGTAAAATCAGTCTGTATATACAGTAAAGCATTATTTTTATACTCATTGTGGAACCTAAGGGGTTAATCCTCTGCATTGTGTAAAAAGGGAGTTTGCATGTTCTCCCTGTGACTGCGTGGGTTTCCTCCAGGTACTCCGGTTTCCTCCCACACTCCAAAGACATGCTGGTTGGTTAATTGGATCCTGTCTAAATTGGCCCTAGTATGTGTATGAATGTAAGTTAGGGACCTTAGATTGTACACCCCTTGAGGGTTAGGGACTGATGTGAATGTACAATATATGTGTATGTAAATTGGAGGCGCTATGTAATAAATAAAAAAAAATGTAATAAATAAAAAATATAAAATATAAAAAAATAAAAAATATGTAATAAATATAAAAAAATACACTTGCAATCACTTTAACATTGCCTAGCATTCAGAAAACACATATAAATGTATTATGAGAAATAGAGAAAAAAAAAAAAAAAACTAAATAGAACAAAAGCTGCACTCCTAACCAAAAAAAGGTAAAAATGTGAATAAATCAAAGAGTGCGCTAAATATAAGTAAATACAAAAATTATTAGTTTAAAATAATGAGGTCTGTGAATTTGATGTCCGTAAATTTTTTTCTATCACGGACATCATTATTTTAAACTAATAATTTTTGTATTTACTTATATTTAGCGCACTCTTTGATTTATTCACATATAAATGTATGCAACACTTTTTAAATATTCAAAGTCAATTATTCCATGTGTATTGGGACATGCAACAAATATGAAGTAGACCTGGTTCCAATATGGCTGCACATTTTAAAAGGGACTGCTATCAAACTTGTTTTCAAATAACTGTTCTGCCATCTAGTGGACAAAAATGAGAAGTGCATCACCAATGGCATAAATATGTTTTAATATGGAAGGTTAGCCTTGGTTCACACCTAAGTGTTCTCTGCTGCGTTTTGCAGAAATGCACAGCAGTCCATTTAACATGATTTCCTATGAGACAGGTTCACATCTCCACGTAGCAGTGTGCAGGAGCTGACAGGGAAGAGAACTGTATTGTTTATATACAGTTCTCTCCATCCGTCGGTAATGCTCCATGATCACCAGGTGCCGGCGAGTAATCACCGGCCGGGACACAGTGATTGACAGCTGAGGCTGCGAGTAGCCTATCTGTAAAATGCAAAATCTCGTATAATATACATGATTTTGTTCACCCCTGCCACCCTGTAGCAGTATTACAGCTAATGGAAGGCATGAAGTGGTTAATTGCCAGCAATTCTTTTATTTACATTCAGCTGTCAGTGGGGAATCCTGCTGACAGCAGATCAGTCATGGTTGTTAAGGACGCGGCAGCCGCTCGCTCCTTAACAACCATGACAGGTACTGTTTGCTAAGGACACCAGCTACCGTCGGTGTTAAATTACCGCAAGTTTTCACTACTAAAATACCGCATCATTTCATAAAATAGCGTATGTGGTATTATAGTAGCATTTTTTTAGTGAATTTAGAAAAAAAAAATTCATAAAAACGCAAAGCTGTATTTTGCCGCATTTCTTAAAGCGTAGCATACCACTTTGTGAACAAAGCCCATTAACATTTTGTTTTAATTCATCATAATGCATTTAACCCTTTCCCTGCCAAAGCCTTTTTCACCACGAAAATACCACATCGCTTCATAAAATAGCACATGCGGTATGTTAGTATTGTTTTTTCAGTGAATTGAAAAAAAAATTTAAGAAAAACGCAAAGCCGTATTTTTACCGCATTTCTTAAAGCGGAAAATGCCGCTTTGTGAATGGAGACCATTAACATCCCATTTTAATTCATCACAATGCATTTAACCTTTTTGCTGCCAGAGACGTTTTTGAAAAAAAATTGTTCCTTTATGCACACGTTAAAAATATCAATGTAAGCCTTAAAGCAGAGTTCCAGTCGCACTGTGAAAAAATAAAAGTCAGCAGCTACAAAAACTGTAGTTGCTGACTTTAAAAAAACAGCCATTCACCTGTCCCTCGGTTCCACGGTGTCCTCCCCGCAGCCCATTTCACCGGCCGTCTTGTATTTCAAGCGCCGGCATCTTCAGTGTGGGCACCCGGCTATGACAGCTTGCGGCTTCACAAACAGGTGCCCACTGTGCATGCGTGAGTATTGCTGCGCTTCCTGAATGGCCCCGTCGTCTTCTGGGACCTGTCACGTGTCCCACAAGACTACGGGGAGGGAGGAGAACAACTTCTGCTTCCGATCGCCTAGGCAATCGCAGCGAAAGTGGGAGCGGGTAACTGTCAATTTCAGGTACCAGCTCCCCAAAGGTGCCAATCCTTAATGGGGAGTGGGGGACCAATCTGTAAAGCGGAACTTCCCCTTTTGGGAAGATGTGTTCCTTAGTACAACCCCCCCAAACAGTATATATTTTCTGGAAACAGAGACCCTGGAGAATAAGCTGGTGGAAGTTCCAATTACTTTATGTCACACGATATTAGTGCAAAGGTTTATCAAACACAAATTTTCTGCAAAAAAAATAATTGAACAATAATAAAAATTTATATATATATATATATATGTGTGTGTATTGTAACGGGAGTAACTTTGGGTGGGGGGCCCATGGAACACAGCTCACTTTGGAGAGGTAGGGAGACCCCTTCTCAGCTCCCCAAATCCCTCTTATGTGTAAGTCACCCTGTGCCTGCTAGGGGTACAGGGTGATCTGTCCTAATATTGGGGTGGGGGGTTGTGGATTGTTTAATGTCATGTGGTTGCATCCCATTGTTCTATTGTGTGTCTTGCTTGGGAGCAAACTATTATGGAATGTATGTGTTTATGTTTATTGGCTTGGTGGGGGGTGTTTCCAGCAGCCCTCCTGATGGGACTGTCTGTTAGTGTGTCTCTTGTTACTAAATAAAGATTCCCACTCTCTGTGTCATTATACAGGGAGGGGGGCTTGTCCCCTGAGTGTATATTATCTTGTATCTGTGTTAAAATAAATGAGTCTACTTCCTGGTTTACTTCCAAGACTGGTGACGTCTAGTCTTGTATGGTCAGCTGTGGTGTCTGTTTTCGGTGTTCGAACGGGGAAACGGTAGTCTAACGGAAATACCCAAGTACAGTCGGGGTCTGGTTCCGTTACATATATATATAAAATAAATAATAAAATATAAAATAATAGGTTGTGCCGAGTAAATAGACATTCAACAGGTCAAGCCTTGTGTGCACCGTGAACTTCAGGTTTTTCCATACGTGTCTTTTAGCCGTTAGCCTGGGGTTCAGCTTAAATAATTAAACAGGGGACAAGGGTTGCAGTTTCCAAGTATAAAGCGGGCGTTTACTAAAATGTTTCTGCCATCCTTCGCAGGCTTGTACACTCTGGACCCCCCAAGAGTTCACCGCTGTATGACACTGAGCTGGCCTTTGCCCTTCGGTCTGGCACACAGAAGGGGGTGGAAACTCACTTGTTCAGTGTGGCGACACCCAGAGAGCTGGCAGAATGGACCCGGGCATTAGTAGACGGATGCCACAATGCAGCTGAGCTTATACAAGAGGTGACAACAGGTGAGAGAAGTGCAGCTTGAAAACAGCACGCAGCTTTGTTTTGTATTATGGTGATTCTAGAAGTGTTTTTATGTATTAGTCCACTCATTCTGTATTTAAAGTGAATCTCCATGTTCCTCATACTGAGCAAAGTAAGGTGGCTCACTTTACGGCTAGCTTCTCACCTATGCAGGTTGCGTTTGATTCGTTTCTGCATTGCATTTTGTGTTTTTTGACACGTTTTTGCTGTATTTTTGCTGCATTTTGTGTTGTGTTTTTATTTTTTGTTTGTTTTTTTCTTGTTGCTAGGCAGATTTAAAATGCATCTAAAACGCGGCAAAAATGCAGCAAAAACACACTACATGATTTGGTACATGGGTACTAATCACTCACTGTGTTCATAAATGAATCCTAGTAAACTGATTCTTCGAGGGGCCCTGTCAGGTTGGCTTTATGGGGCCCCATGGTTTCTAACAGCAGCCCTGGGGTACGGCGATGGGTTGCTAAGCCATTGAGTTCTGCATGGTATTGTAGTAGCAATTTTGGAAAACCAGGAAACTCTGGACACCTTGAGGAAAACAAGTGATTTATTAAAAACAGCGCTGTTTGACCCAGCCGGGCTCATGCCTGCAAAGCTGAGTGAGTTGTATCCACTCCTTACAAGCGTATATATCAATAATTACATCACAATGCATATTTTTCCTCTTTCCCTTTCTATACATTCAAAAGACTTTCTAAACTTTGCAGAATATAGCCTTGAATTCCAGCTACAGATAGGGGTGCTAGCTACAGGCTGGTACACATTACTTTACAGGAAATAAGGGAGGGGAAAAGTGAGCTGAAAACCTTGCTTTGCAAGCAGATACTGTTAAAAATGTTAAAATGTAAAGGGGAGCTCTGCAATATCTGGGTGCTGCCACAGTAGGGAGGCAGGTGGGGAGAGCCACGTGGTTTTTCATGGGGGCATCAGAGTTTTTTTTCATGATTTTCTCTTGTTTTCACTGGAGGAGCATTTCCTCCAAAAAAAGGTAATATTTAAGCTCTTGTGTAAAGCCAGCCACACATGGATCGAAATTCAGCCGGTTCCACAGGGACTTATCAAATTGCGATCCATGTGTCCATTCCCATTCATGAAAAGTCGATCTATAAATGTTTCATGAATGGGACTGTTGGAAAATTTCAGTTTGATCAGCACTGCAGGCAATAGGCTGCAGCCCTGATCTGTGTATTCTGGTGGAGGGAAAATGGGGGAGGACAAGAGGGAGGATTCCCCCATCCACATCATGGATGGGGGATCTGTTCAGTTTTTTTTTTTTGTTCAGCCGGCTGTCTGAACAAAAGAATTTAATTGTATATGGGCAACCCTACTCTTTATTTATCCCTCTTAGTATAACTCTATGGTTTGAATGTAAGTATAATAAAAGCCAGATTGTTTTGTAATTTTGGATAGCGTAGAGAAGGATTGGAACCTCTGTTAGAATTGTGTTGCTGTCTTTGTCTCGGAGGGGAAGATTCACCGTTATAAATATAGAAATAACCTTCAAGTAGGGGGCACCTCTTCCTGTGACAGCCATCTACAAGAGGGTTTCCCCTGACATTGGGGAGATTTCCTCTCACTTCTTGCTGTCTAGAAAGTGAAAGGAACTCCTGGATAAACATCTGTAAAACTTTGGGCTGGAACGTCCTGTAAATGAGACCGGTCAGTGCTAATCTCTCTCCTTGTGCATTGTGACTGGTCCTGTCTCCACCCCTTCTGTAGTTTTCTGCAGGCAGCCTGTAGTGGGTGGGCCTCATGTGGCCCCTCCCACAGCTCTGCTTTCTGCACAGGCTATAGACTGCACAGTGTTGATGTCACTGCTACTTTAACAAGGTAATACCTGGGTTTGAAAAGGTATTTGGGCCAAACAAAATGGGTTTATAGCTATTGTGGCTAATGAAGAATATATTTAACCACTTCCCATTTGGCCCATGTACACATAATCGGCTGGACGGAAGCGGTGCAGGAGCGGGTTGCCGTTCATAAATGGCACCCGCATTTCCAGCCTGTGCGCACTCCCTGGGGGTGCGCGGCACCGCGATCCAGTGCCGCTGTGTCTTGAGGACACAGTGGAACACCGATCGCTGTACGGGACCTCTGTGTGAGGTCCCGATTCATGTGATCACTGATTGGCTAATCAGTGGTCACATGAATAGTAGTAAGCAAGATGTCACTTCCTGACATCATTGCTTACTACTAGTGAAATCTGTGAATGATCACAGAGGTCGCATGGTACAGCGCTATGCACAACAGCATTGTACTATCTGACAAGCTGTGACCAATCAGAGCTCTCACAGTATTTCTCAATGACTGCAAGAATGCAGAGAGAAGGAGAAAGGATTGCTTTTATAGCCTTTATGGGTGTAAAAGCAATCAGCATAATAGAAAAGAATAAAATCTTCATCACCCCCCACAAGTAGTACAGTGTCACTATGGTGACACTGTACTGCTAGGTTAACAGTATTAAAAAAAAATATATAAATAATAATATAAAAAAAATATAAAAATGTAAAAAATTTTTTTAAATTATAATTTTTTTTTGGTTATAAACTAATTTGGGTTTTTTTTTTTTACTAAACAGATAACTGAATACATTTTGGCCAAGATTTATGAAGAAAGATTATTTATTTGCAAAATTTTATTAGAAAAACATTTTTTTTTTCAAAATTTTTGGACTTTTTCATTTATATAGCAAAAAAAAATCCCAGTGGTGAATAAATACCACCAAAATAAAGTTTTATCTGTCTAAAAAATATGCTAAAAAATGAATATGGGGACAGTATTGCATAACCTCGCAATTGTCATTCAAAGTGTGATAACACTGAAAGCTGAAAATTGGCCTGGACTGGAAGGGGGTAAAAGTATCTGGACTTGCAGTGGGTAAATGCAAGTTTTTTTGCAGGGATTTCAGCTTCAATAGGACATAGACAGTAAAAAAAATTACAGGGGTTTGACCTATTCTCTACTTTATCCAAAACAAAAGTAAACATTTGGCTTTAGATATACTTTAACATTTGAGTATAGTTTAGTAGATAGTTCCATCTATTCAATACGGTTCTCCTCCCAAACATGACTGTGTTTTTCCCTACGTAGCTTGTACATGGGGAGGAAAGGAGTGCGCACTCTCGATACACATCGACAAAGGATTCACACTATTCACGGAGGAGCCTGGACTCAACAGAATCGTTCACCTTCATAAACCCTTCGAAAAACTCCGGATGTCCTCTGACGATAGTACCAGGATGTTATATCTGGACTTTGGCAACCCCGAGGGTGAACTTGTACGTTAAGCAAGTTTTATTTGATACACATTTGGGGTTATTTGCTAAAACTTCATGGTGCAAAATCTGGTGCATACAAACCAATCAGCTTCCAGTTTTTTTTTGTCAAAGCTTAATTGAACAAGCTGATGGTAGAAGCTGATTGGTTACTATACAAAGCTGCACCAGATTCTGGGTGCTCCAGTTTTAGTAAATCTCCCCACATTGTTCTTTATAGGTAACTTTGAAAAGTATGGTAGTGCTAAAGGTCACATGAAGATTTTTTTTTCATCTTTGTATACACATATACAGTAGTTTAAATTTAGATAATTTTCTTGGTGCCTTTTCCTGCAATTGCTTTTATTTCAGCACACAGGCAGCATTGTTGTGCTATGTCTATTCATACCTCCAGTTTTCATGAAAAAAGCTGACATTTACCCACCTAGCCCCAAATTTAGGTGTTCATTGTTTTGACGTAAACCCCTTAAAGAACCTTGGGTCAACCCCCAGCATTCCATAATGCAATGCAGATGCAAACGTGGAGGTTTTTACTTTGCTTTGTGGGAGGACTAGGGGTGGGTGAGTACTTCGATATTAGGACCCAAGGCATACATTGGCTATATACTTTACTCATTTTCAGAGACTCCCTAGCCCACTGAAGCCACTTTGTTGATAGATGACGATACACTATATTGCCAAAAGATTGGGCCAGCCCTCCAAATCATTGGATTCAGGTGTTCCAATCACCTCCATGGCCACAGGTGTATAAAGAGAAAACAGGTGGCGCACACACCTCGTGCATTATCCAAAGTTTATTGTAAAGAGTAAAAAATAATAAAAAACATACTCACAAGCAAAGCATGTATCTAAAAAGCATAGAAAAATGACGATGGCCACAACGACAGGCAAGGTGTCCTCACTGTCAGTGAGGTCAAATTACTGACGCGTTTCGGGGAGGAATCCCTTTCCTCAGAGCTAATGACCAGCCTCTGATGCCAATGTGTAATGGATGAAGAGTGGGAGCCTTGCTGGTGATGCCACCAAGCACCTAGGCATGCAGACTGTTTCTACAAACATTTGTGAAAGAATGGGTCGCTGTCAGGAGCTCAGTGAAGTCAAGCGTGGTACCGTGTCAGGTTGCCACCTGTGCAATAAGTCCATCTGTGAAATTTCCTTGCTATTAAATATTCCACGGTCAACTGTTAGTGCCATTATAACAAAGTGGAAGCAACTGGGAACAACAGGCTACGTAAAATGACAGAGCGGGGTCAGTGCATGCTGAAGCGCACAGTGCTCAGAAGTCACTAAGTGTCTGCAGAGTCAATAGCTAAAGACCTCCAGACTTCATGTGGCCTTCAGATTAGCAAAAACAACAGTATATAGAGAGCTTCATGGAATGAGTTTCCATGGCAGCTGCATCCAAGCCTTACATCACCAAGACCAATGTAAAGTGTCGTATGCAGTAGTGAAAAGCACGCCGCCACTGGACTCTAGAGCAGTGGAGACTTGTTCTCTGGAGTGAACAATCACGCTTCTCCGTCTGGCAATCCCATGGACGTGTCTGGGTTTGGTGGTTGCCAGGGGAGAGGTACTTGCCTGACTGCATTGTGGCAAGTGTAAAGTTTGGTGGTGGGAGGATTATGGTGTGGGGTTGTTTTCAGGGGTTGGGCTTTGCCCCTTAGTTCCAGTGAAGGGAACTCTTAATGCATCAGCATACCAAGACATTTTGGACAATTTCATGCTCCCAACTTTGTGGGAACAGTTTGGTGATGGCCCCTTCCTGTTCCAACATGACTACGCACAGGACATGGATGAGCAAGTTTGGGGTGAAGGAACTTGACTCGCCTGCACAGGGTCCTGACCTCAACCCGATAGAACACTTTTGGGATGAATTAGAGCGGAGACTGCGAGCCAGCCTTCTCATCAGTGCCTGACCTCATAAATGCGCTTTTGGGAGAATGGTCAAACATTCCCATAGACACACTCCTAAACCTTGTGGACAGCCTTCCCAGAAGAGTTGAAGCTGTTATAGCTGCAAAGGGTTGGCCAACTCAATATTGAACTCTACAGACTAAGACTGGGATGCCATTAAAGTTCATGTGTGTGTAAAGGCAGGCATCCCCATTCTTTTGGCAATATAGTGTATGTTATGGCCTTACATATTCACCAAAGAGCAGGAAAAACATGCCGCATTACTGTATATCATAGAACATGGGCATGAGGTAACCATAACATATATAATAAACCTCTGTTATTTTCTGTAAGCACTGTTTAAATATGAACTACATGTTCACCTGATCATCGCATCTATAAGAGCTTGTTGGACATTCCATTTCAGAACCATGGGCATTATGATAGAGTTGGCCTCCCTTTCTTCTGAGAAATCTTTCCACAAAATTATGAAGTGTGTCTGTGGGAATTTGTGCCCGTTTATGAGGTCAGGTACTGATGTTGGTTGAGAAGATCTGATTCAAAATCGGTGTTCCAATTCATTCATGTGTTCAGAGGGGTTGAGGCCAGGGCTCTGTACAGGCTTCTCAAATTCCTCTACACCAAACTCATTAAACCATGTTTTCATGGACCCAGCTTTAGTGCACATATTATTTGTCAGCTGCCATGACACATAAGGACCTGTCCATTGGTCATACTTGTCTCACACTTTTGGTAAAATTGTAAAATCAAAGGTATGGATTTACAATCCTTTAATCCTCTTTTTTTTTTTCATTCAGCAGCTAGATCTTCACTCTTGTCCCAAAACCATCGTCTTCATCATTCACTCGTTCTTGTCAGCCAAGGTGTCTCGCATGGGTCTCTTACCGTAAAGAAGAGTTCCGGACAAGTCCTACAGAGAACCAAAGTAGTCCATGCACTAATCCACTCATAAGTGAAAAGAGCTTCTTGGGTTGCCTAAGCCATCCTTGAACAACTGTCGGCACTGGAATAGTTGCTGCCACAGTTGTTGGTGTGTTATACAATACACTTTAACCCTGTGTTATCTGGTGCCAATACCTCTCACAGCAAATGTAGTGCCTTACATGTAGTTTTATGTAATGGTTTTGATGCACAGATATGAAGAGAGCAGGTACCTTATCGTTCCTGTTTGATCAAGAAGGAGATTCCGGTGCCTTCAGCTGTTTTCTTCAAATGTTGTAGATAGAGCTGTAAAATACAACACTGGGTCCTAAGCTGTATTCTTATTTCTACATCTGACTTAAAATTTTGTGCATTATAATTATATATATATTATATATGTATATTCATAAGAAGAAGTCAAATAAGATATATTTAGTTTTTATTAGAGTTTGAAAAAAAAAAAAGAATTGACAAGATGGCGTCTGTTTTGTTATTCCACTATGGTTAAGTGAGACAGTGATGACATGGCAGCTCTCCATTGGCTGGAAAATATTTGTGTGCCATTGCTAGGTACCCTCTGGTTAAAAGGGGATCATGGAACTGATTTTAAGCTATTAGGGTTGAATTACTAAGACTTGAGAGTGCAAAAACCAATGAAGCTGTGCATGGTAGCCAATAAGCTCTAACTTCAGCTTGTTCAAAAAAATTTTGGCAAACAAACCAGGAAGCTGATTGGTTTCTATGTAGAGCTGCCCCAGATTTTGCACTTTCCAGTTTTAGTAAATCAACCCCATTGCGTTGTCACAAAGGAGTCTGAAAAAAAAAACTGCATTCGCACAGCTGTCATGAATAATCCCTGTAATTTGCCTAATATGTTGCTATCATTGATCATCAACTCCATCTAGTGCCCATAATATGGTGAAATACCTCAGTCAAGAAATTTCTGCATTATGGCCACTGAGTGGAGTTGATAATCATAGAAGATAAATGTGTTAGGCAAATTACGAGGATTATTTGAGACAGCTGTGGATATTTTTTTTTTATAACTAGATCCCAAAGTCTGTCATTTTTGGGTGCTAGCTTCTCTCATTATGATGGACATGGCTGCTTCACGTGTTTAGACCAAGGATATGCCATAAAGACAGTCTGTTACTTTTAAAATGTTTTTTTTTTCACAGATCTGTGAAGCTAAAAAATTCTTAATAAACTTTTATGCCAAGAATGTTTGCATTTGGAGGCAACTCTTTCCATAGATATATTTGGTCTGACATTCTTATTATTATTATACAGGATTTATATAGCGCCAACAGTTTGCTCAGCAATTTACAAAATGAAGGTAGATATTACAGTTACAATACAATTTGGTGCAAGAGGAAACAGAGGGCCCAGCTCGATAGAGTTTACAATCTAAGATTACACCCTGTTCCAAATTATTATGCAAATTATATTTTTCTCATTTACCTAAATAATTGATGTAAATAACAGTCAGCATAATTCTCATGTTATCAACTATTAAGAGTACAATTCACATTTTATTGAACAAACCTCCTAATGATAACAGGATTTCTGTTAAACATAAAAAAACTTACAATGCACTGTTCCAAATTATTACGCACAGTAAGTTTCAAAACACTTTATAGGTTGTAAAGAAGTGAAAATTGTCATTTGTGTTTGCAGCATATTTACTGAAATCAAAAGCTATTTCAATCAAACTTTTAACAACATTTTACATTTTTAAACATTGTAACATAGGAGCCCTTATTTGATAGCAGCGTCACAAGTCTTGCATCCATTGAACTTGTGAGTTTTTGGACAGTTTCTGCTTGAATTTGTTTGCAAGATGTCAGAATAGCCTCCCAGAGCTGCTGTTTGGATGTAAACTGCCTCCCACCCTCATAGATCTTTTGCTTGAGGATGCTCCAAAGGTTCTCAACAGGATTGAGGTCAGGGGAGGATGGACCATGACTTTCTCTCCTTTTATCCCCATAGCAGCCATTGATGCAGAGGTATTCTTTGCAGCATGAGATGGTGCATTGTCATGCATGAAGATGATTTTATTACAGAAAGCATAGTTCTTCCTTCTGTACCAGGGAAGAAAGTGGTCAGTCATAAACTCCACATACTTTGCAGAGTTCATCTTTACACCTTCGGGGACCCTAAAGGGGCCGACCGGCTCTGTTCCCATGATTCCGGCCCAAAACATGACTCTACCATGCCTTGCTGATGTTGCAGCCTTGTTGGAACAGGGTGGCTGTCCACCAACCATCCACTACTCTATCCCTCTGGACCATCCAGGGTTGCACGGCACTCATCAGTGAACAGGACTGTTTGAAAATTAGTCTTCATGTATTTTTCTGCCCAGTGCAGCCGTTTCTGCTTGTGAGCATTGGTTAGTGATGGCCGAATAGAAGGTTTATGCACAGTTGCAAGACTCTGGAGGACTCTACATCTTGATGTCCGTGGGACTCCAGAGGCACCAACAGCTTCAAATATCTGTTTGCTGCTATGTAATGGTATTTTAGCAGCTTCTCTCTTGATCCGATGCATGGATCTGGCAGAAATCTTCTTCAATGTGCCTTTAACTGCACGAACTCGTCTGTGCTCTGAATCAGCAACAAATCTCTTAATAGTGCGATGATCACGCTTAAGTTTTCGTGAAATATCTAATGTTTTCATACCTCGTCCAAGGCATTGAACTATTTCACTCTTTTCGGCAGCAGACAGATCCTTTTTCTTCCACATATTGCTTGAAAATGGTGCTCTGCTTAATAATGTGGAATACCCTCCTTTAGTATTTTTACCTTAAATTGGGCTCACCGGCCAATCTAATTATCACAGGTGTCCGAGATAGTTTTCAGTGATCAAAAGAGCCCTGACACACAATGCCATCCATGAGTTAAACTGAAAAACAAATTATTTAATCTTTGTGACACTTAAATAGAATTTGCATAATAATTTGGAACAGGGTGTAGACTAAATTGGACTCGTTGTGTTAGTTCTACATCAACCCTGCTATTGGATGCATTAAAAATAAGATATACCTGCACGTCTATTGGATGTTTCTCCATCAGTGAAAACACTGAATAAATTAGATGAAATGTCCTGAAATAGACATTAGGCCAAGGCTTCCTGGATATCAGAATTTTAGAACTTGCATCAGATCCCTTTGAAGAGACACTATCACCTTGCTCATCCACGGAAAACTGACAGTGTGCTCTCTGCACCAGTTATATTCACTTTACCAGCAGTCTCTTGGTGTCCCTGTTTCTGTTGCAGCAGGCAGCAATACCCAGTACTTCCAGATATGGGGGCCATGTGACCTCCTTAAGTGTTCTGTGGAGCATAGCAATTGGCTATATTAGGATTTCAGTGCTGGCTGCAATGGAGGCAAAATGGTTTAATTTACCTTTGCATTGGGATTCCCCTTGCACTGCAAGGGTTAAATGCTCATGTTTTCCTAGGGTACAAATAAAACTTAGCCCTCCCCAAGGAGTTGGTGTTCTCTTCTTCTTTCCCACACTCTGGGATGTGGCTGGGCCCTCTGTGGCCTCTTTCACATTGTGGGACTGCTGGTCCTGCACTGCACGTGATGAAGTCAAAGTGCAACTATTCTGCCTCTCCAGTCTAAGCAATTAAAATGTAATCTCTATAGACTATCCAGTTACGGCGAGATAGCTATGACTCACAGTCTCAGTAGATATGGCAGACAGTGACTCAATCCAACTGACATCTTGCAGATCATAGAAAACGTTAATCCAAAACTTGTGCAGATCATAACAGATGAATATCAGATAGGTGAAAAAAATCATAGCATGTCTAGCTCTAGCAATTACATGTGTCCAGAATAGAAACTAGAGGCACACTGAAGGAGGGTGGTGCAGAGCATCGCCTAGCTATGGAGACAATATTATTAAAGGCAAAGAAACACACAATGCAAAATGCAATGGTGAAGAGAAGCGACATCAAAGAACCAGTCACATGGAGAAGAGGAAACCAGTGGGAGTGAGTAATAAGGTAAGTACAACTGCTTTTTAATGAAATCCTAGATAAAAATAAAGTGGTTACCCCTTCCATTGCAAGGGGAGCCCCACTCCAAGTGTAACTTTAGATTTTCCCTGGAGTTCAGCTTTAAGTATTAAAGGGCATTGTGAGCATTAAGCAGTAAGCTAAGGGTTAGGGTGAGGGTTAGGTGATAGCTATAGGGTAAGTGTTAAGGCACAGCTTAAGGTTAATGGTGGGGAATGGGTTAAGATTTGAAGTGTATGGTCAGCTAGATCTTCTTTCCTAGTTTTTGATAGGATGTTTTTATAATTAATGAAAATTAGGGCCGTCCCTGCTTCAGGGTAAGTGTTCCCTATCCAAAAAAAAAAATACACTGCTCAAAAAAATTAAAGGAACACTTTGAAAACACATCAGATCTCAATAGGGAAAAATATCATGCTGAATATCTATACTAATATGGACTAGGTAATGTGTTAGGAAAGATGCCCCATCATTTGATGGAAATGAAAATTATCAACCTAAAGAGGAATTCAAAGACACCCCGAAAATCAAAGTGAAAAAAATGATGCTGCAGGTTAGTCCATTTTGCTGAAATTTCATTGCAGCAACTCAGAATGGTACTCGGAAGATTGTATGGCCCCCCACATGCTTGTATGTCAGGGCAAGCTCCTAATGAGATGACAGATGGTGTCCTGGAGATTTCCCCCCAGATCTGGACCAGGGCATCACTGAGCTCCTGGACAGTCTGAGGTGCAACCTGGCGGCGTCAGATGGACCGAAACATGATATCCCAGAGGTGTTGTATTGGATTTAGGTCAGGCAAGCGTGAGGACCATTCAAAGGTATCAATTCCTTCATCCTCCAGGAACTGCCTGTATACTCTCGCCACATGAGGCTGGGCATTGTCGTGCACCAGGAGGAACCCAGGAACCACTGCACCAGCGTAGGGTCTGACAATGGGTCCAAG